TAAAAATACTTTCACAAATATTAATTTTTCCACTTCAAAAATGTCTTCTTTAAAAGGATCGCAAGACGATTTTCTTTTCTTTCCCATTTAAGCTATACATTAAAGCAGCTTTCTTCTCTAATAGTTTAAGTATCAATCAATGCGTCAGTCAATCAATCACGCACTGCATGACAAACAAAAACTGCACCTAGACTCGATTAATTGATTTCCATGAACAATGCCGAGAGTCAATGACTCAACTCGATTCCGAATGCATGCAGCCGACCTAATCCTAATCAGTTAAGATCTGGCAGTGGCAAATGAGAAATGTGAAAATAATTGAAAATGACGAGCCAAAGCAGCGGTTTATTAACCACTGAACCACTAAATATGCGTTGCGTATTTTTGTATTCTTAATTAAACAAAGGCGAGCGCATTTTCTTTGCTTGGGGAATACCTATTAAAAGATAAAAGTAAAGGGTATGCTGGAATGAAATAGAGATAAGTAAAGACATAGACTTGGACTTGAATTTGCATAGATCTAGTTGTAAAATTCTTATAAATTATATTCTATAAGCAAGTTCGACTCAATCTTAATCAAAGGGCATCCTCAAGTCTGGCATGCCCCACTTGCATACACTCTTACTTGCTGGCTTTAGATTTGTAGTACAAATTTCAAGTTCATTGTGCGAAATTCACACGATGCTCTTGTTTTTCATGATTATCTCTAGCTGTACAAAGAGATTCAGGCCCGCGACTCGGCTTCAATTGTTGCAGCGACCCAACAAAGGCCTCAGGCGAAACAAAGCCAGCGGCAGAGTCAGAGTGGTGGTGTCTGAGAGGGGGCACGGAGTTGGAGCTGGAGTTGGAGTCATAGACGCTTTGATAAGACAAATGCCAACCGCAAGTTTCACTTTTGCTGGCCGCGCAAATCGTAGATTACCACGCCGACCCACAGCTGGAGGCGAGCTAACTATATACTATATACATAGGTATATATGGCATGAATGGGCCATACGACTCGACGACTCTGGGCCAGCTGCGTATGAGCCACAAATTGTTGACCGTCGGCCTTCCGAAATTTCATAATTACCTTCCGAGACAAATTAGTGCAGTCGAGGCATAATTGAGTCGGGCGCTCAGTGTCGTTTACCATTTACTGTCTAACTGCCTTAACGACCTGTGGGGGTACCAGAAACATTTACATTAATCCATTAGCCGAGAGTTTCCCCTTTGAGTACGGGCCAAAGAGTGCGACAACAATGTTGGATGAAGTTTTCTTTCGAATAAGTAGTAGAATTAGCATATGAATAATGGGTCTTTCGTATAAATCTCTAATCATATAGTAGACCTAATATGAACAATTTGTAGCTTTTCCTGTGCCACATTGAAATTAGGGGCGTGCCATGGGGTCTTTATTGATAACAGCAAACTTTGGATATGTGTAATTTGCATATGTAGTAGATCATGTAAAGGAGGATCAATAGGAAGAGATCACAAACATTTGAATAAGTAGAATTAGTATATATCATATCGGCTTATAAATGAAATATTTTAGCCTATCAAAGCGTATATTTAATAATTATTTATTATAGTATAATCTGTAAAATAGTTCATTTACATATATCTGCCTATCATATTTAACTCGTTATATACTTCCAATATCAATACAGTTTCAATTTTGATCGATCTTCTAAGTGCTGCAATCCCATCTCAAATTGACTGCAACGATTGCATTCAATGTGGTCAGCCAGCGCTAACAAGCCAGGGCTCTAGAGCTATAGATAGATAATATCTTGAGCAAGTCAGAAGCTAAGAATTGCATATTAAACATTTCCGCTGGGCAGCAAAAAAAAAAATAGATAATAATAATGCAGAAAAGAAATTTGCAATTCCGCAATTGAATAAAAGCAAAGATAAAGCAATTTCCATAAGTGCAAAGCGCTTTTCTCGCTCAAATTACAGCTAACTGTGCAAATTCCCGTTGCATCTAATTTCCTCAGAGCACTTTTCACTTGGCATTCTGAAGAAGGCGAGCCAACGAGTGAATGGACATTGATTATGTTGCCCTGCAGTCTCTATGCGATCTTAGGCTTATAAAGAAATTAGAAGTAAAAAAATAAATAAAAATATAAGAATACATATAATCTATATAAAGACTAATAAACTACATATAAAACACTATACAGATAAAAGGAATGTAAATATACATAAATATGTTATGTACAACATGATGCATTCATTGCACAGACTGTTAAAACTAACACTGTTAAAGCTCAGACTGTTAATATGCATGTAGGCTTTTAGTGCTGTTATATACTGTTATATGCATATACATTTATACTGTTCCTAGCTTGTACTGCATCTCACGAATGCATTTTGAATAAACTCCAGTTTAAATTGTGAAAAATTAGAAAATTATTCAATATGCGAATAGTTTTCAAATAAATGTGAAATATATAATTCATAGAAATATTAAAACTATTATTGATTGCTAAAGAAACTGTTGAGTAGAATGCACTATTGCTAGCCAAAAAATACTTTTATTACATAAACATACATATATTATATTTATGACAATTTTTGCGCATAAATTATTTTTATTTTATAATTATTTTGACATTGTGGCAGCCCAGCCCAATTGTTGGCAACATATTTATTCATCTATTCAGCTTTGATCTACAATATAGCATCATGTGAACTTAGTTCATCTTTAAACAATTCTAAGTTAAATTTAAGTTGGTTCAAGTTTATTTATAGGTCAAGCGACCCGCCTTGCCTCGGCATTGACCAACTATCGCTTGTTGGTTAATTAAAAAATACGTGCGTACAATACGCACCTTTAAAAACAAAGTTGGGGTTTTCATTATGTAATTTATGAAAATTTCCATATGCGGGCGTCTAAAGAGAAGAAGAAGAAGCAGCAGCGTTTCTTAGGTGCGTGGCTCGAATTGGTGTCAATTTGAATGTGAAGCACTCAAAGTTTTTGCTGCCTGCAAAAATGCAATTTTATGTTTGTTTTGTTTTTTGCGTTTTTCGACAGCCGACAGTCGGACGGACAGACAGACAGACAGACAGCAGCCTGTGGCAACCGCGATCTTTACTCGCTGTCCACATGATTGATGTCCGTTGGCTGTCGCAGTGTTGTCTCTGGGTCTATTGTCTCTCGGTTTTTATTCATTTGAATTTCGTTTGATCTGCTGCAGGTTTTTTGCACAAATAGAAAATATGCATTGCCCCAGCGACCCGTTCTTATTGTACTATGAATGGGAGTGGAGAGGCAAGATCCAAATGCACTGCAACTAAACATGTGGGCTAAGCTAATGGGTATATATCAGACTGAGTAGTATATACATATATACTATGTGTTAGTTAGAGCTTGGCAAGTCTTTTAGTTTTTGCATCTTTGATTTAGCTGCTGCGATTTCTCCTGCACAGGTGTCCATTAAGCAACAACACAATCGAAAGTGTGCAGACAATTTCTAATTGTTTCTCTCTCTCTCTCTCTCTCACACACACACACATTTTTTGATCAGCTTAAATCGAATGCAATAATGCGTCATGTCGAACAATGACTGTCTGCCACTGCGCTGCCCAAAATGGGAGAATGATGGGGCCGAGCGGCTAGCTGAGCACTGTCTATGCCCCCTCTCTTTCGCTCCAACAGCTTTGTGTATGCCTTGTCCAGGTGCTGCGCTTGTTGCAATCGAAGCTTTTTCCATAATTAAATAATTAATCGTCATTTTATTAGGCCCGTGCATAAGCTATACGCTCTTTCACTTTCACATTTGTTTATGCGTCTAAACACAGACAGACATACATATAAATATGTATGTGTATGTACATATACACGTATTTATATCTTTATATTTCATGCAAGCATGTGAGATATTAAAAAATTATGAGACAACGCGCTGCCAATTGAATGTGTCGCCGCATCGTGTCGCGTCGCGTTGTGCAAAGTGAAATATATTTTCTGTTTTGTTTGTTGTTTTGCTGTTGTTTTCATTATGGCTGTGGCATTGTCAAAGCAACGCACGTAAGGTTAAGTAAGTGCCGCAAGCAGCCCGTGGCAGGCTGTTGGCAGGAGGCAGAGGGCACGAGGCAGGGGGCAGGAGGCAGCCAACGGCAAGCAGCTGCACTCTGTGGCACGCATCTGCGGGCTGCCAAATATGTTTGCAATCCGAGGGTCTTTTCACCAGCTGTCCCACACCATGGCTGTTGCACTTTTCGCCTGCCTATGGCCACAACTATGTTATAAACTAATTATTGTGGGAGACTAAGCAGCAGAAGAGGGAGAGAGACAGAGAGAGAGAGGGAGAGCGAAAGACATTTGCATACAGCGCACTGAACTTGTAACCAAGCCGCGGGCCCACAGTAGCCCAGTCAACGCGCTTGCCACATTTTCTCAGCATTTTATTTACTTTTGATACCCTGTACAAATAGTTAATGACTATAAAAGGAGTATGTTGCATTTGAGATTATATGTATATGGAAAAGGCAGGTGCATCATCTAATCAACTAATGTTTCAATCAAACTAAGAATTTTTCTTCAAAATTTACTTGTTATTTCATTTAACAAAAAAAAAAAAAAAAAATAATAATAATAAAAAACAAATAAAATAAAAAATTAATTATAAATGAGTAGTAAATATGAATTAAATATTTAAAAAAAAAATACAAAAAAATAATAACAACAAATATTAAATAATAAATAAAAAAATTTTAAAAATAAATAATTTATAGTAAATATAAAATAATAGTAAATAATTATTTTAAAAATATAAATATAAATATAAATATTAGTAAAAAAAATATAAATATAAATATATTAATACATAATAAAAATATAATTACATAATAAATATATAATTAAATTATCATAGAAAAAAAAAAGATATTTAAAATATTAAAAAAAAAATATACATATAAATAAAGAAATGCTATAAATAATTGAATACAGAATACAGAAAATGGTGAATAAAATAATAGTAGTAAAAATTCTTAATAAAGTCAAGCAAATAAATAGTTACTATAAATGTTCAATAATAGTGAAAAATAAACCAAAAAATCATTAATTAATTAATAATTGAGTAAATCTCTAGCTCAGTACAGAGTATGTTATAGTCGCGTAAGACAAACTTGAAGCTTAATGAACTCTGTCAATACGTGTAGATAAATACGTGTATACACATATTAATAATATGCATGTATATTTAATACACACATCTGAATATGCATTAACCCAAAAACTTAGTTTTAGTCGCCTGGAAATCGCTTGGGCCTCGGGCATTGGCTCTGCTTCGTCGTTTAAATTCGATCAGCTATTAAATTTAGGTGCGCGCTGCGGTGCACAGTGGTCGAAGCACTCGGTCTTGGTGAAGAAGCGATTCGAGTTGCCGCCGCAGGACGAATAGTCGAAGGGTTTGCAGCTCCTGGTCTTGGGATTGTAGTACCACATGCGGACGTGGGAGTGGCAGCTGCCGTACTCTGGCGGCTGTTTGCAGTCATCTGCAAGGGGAGCGAGTGTGGGGAATGTTCTAGGATCTTGGATCTTGGAGCAATCTTGGACTGACTCACCCCATCCACCGTCGGGCCAGTCGGCGGCAACAAGTGCAGTCAACAGCAGCAGCAAGAAATAGGACATTCCGCAAGTGTTTGAATTCGCTCTGCTCTTGGCCAAATAACCGAATTCGCTAGACTGATTGAAGTGGGCTAGAACCAAAGGCGTTTTATAGCCATGCGAACAGTCAGCGGCAATGCGTCATTTGGGAAAGTGCCTAATGGGTCCAAATCTAGTGCAATTCTCGTTCTATCAGTAATTGCTTAAAGATCTCTCAATTATGGCTGAGTCAAGATCAAATCTTGGGCAAAACAGATGTGTAGAGTGCTTTACTGCGGCCATTTGCTCAATTCACTTTCACTACGAGCCGAGTTCAGATACAAACGCAAATCCATATATTTTAACAAACATTTTCGATAGCAATTTCTAAAAGAAAACCCCAGAAACTAAAACGCATGCAACACGTTTTGCATGTCAATCAAAGATCACGTCAGCCCAGACTGCCGAAAGCCGAACGCGCAGTCAATTAACTTTTCGGCCTCGCCCCCTGGCGGCCGAGAATTCACATGAAATGTACTCACACTCATTGTGTTGATCATGTTTGACCATGTCCAAGGCCTCGGCCACAGGCACTCACAAAATTTCACACTCAAGGAGCGGCCAATCTAGCTCTGGATCTGTCTCTGTCTCTGGCTCTGGCTTTGGCTAACAGAGTAACAGTTCATTGCACTGGTGCGAAGTAACTATTCGTATCTGTGAGATACGCAGCTAATAATTTGTATCTAGTCTGTTTTTTTGTGGATACCCTATACTTGGGGTATAATGATATAGGTATGATATAGTTATATATATAGTAATATGTAATGCATCTAACTCTAAAAGGGTTTTTAATGTTCAACTCATTAGTTAGAGCTCATTATAATGAATATATCTCTAAACCATATCATGTTCATGTTTACCTGCTTTCCTGATGTTCCTTTGGCTGGAAGCCAGATTAAATATAAGACAACAGAACAATCTGACTCGATCTAACTATATCTTTATATCTGTCTGTCTATCCTTCCATTCGTATGAACAATGCGATTTTGTAATCTATGTAGAATGAGCCTTTATATTATTAATTGTATACCATAAATAATATATTTTTCCATAATTTTATTATCGATAAATAGATTGCTTTTTAAGACAGCTTGATAGATGTAGATTTATGTGTTATACAATTTTTCTCAATATATTTATACTGAGCTCTAGAACTGAAGTTACTTTATATTACATTTCTTATAAAGAGATAATCTACAAAGAGATTATCTACAATTTCTGTATACAGTGAGCCATTGTCCAGCTGTTTGAGTATTTCCCTAGTCACATACTCCCGACTAGAGCACTTTTATTAGTTTTTTATTTATTTGATATCACGTACATGGGCTATGCCATTAAATCTCGCTGAGGTAAAAAGGTAATATATATATTTGAGTTTTGTTTTTCCTAAGAGCATAATTCGCAGCGAGTCTGAGAACTTTCACGCCACTTCCGCCTGTCGTTTGCTCGGCGACATCTCGCCGGAGATCGTTGCGCGTTGGCCCTTGGCTCAGTGAAACTAAAGTGAAGAAAACATTAAAGAGATCAGCCCGATGATATATGATGTTAGTATCTTTCGCATCTGTGCTGCGCTACATAAAGTGAAATCTTTCGATTGCAAAATGTTGCGCAAACAGATTTGGCAATAGCTGACCACGCAATACCATTCTCTAGATCGGGTTTACGTCTTGTACTTGAGTGTGAGCATTTCGACGGAGAATGCCATCAAGGCCAGGCAGATGCCCAGTACCCAGACGAGCAAGATGCCCGCGAAATTGGACATGCCCAGCATGACGGGCTCAATGTCGATGTCGTCTTGGCCACTGGAGAGCACGGTGCTCTCGACCTGTTGCTGAATCTTCACATTTAGGTTATCGGCCACGACGCGATCCTCCCAGTACTTGTCGAAGCCGGACGAGTGCCAGCGATAGACCAGGGCATTGAAGCGCTCCAGCAGCGGCCAGAGCCGTGGCACAAAGGCCACCGTATACTGATAGTAGAGATCCTCCTGCATGATCACCATGTGCTCAATGGACTGCTCCGTCAGATAGTCGCCGATGGCAAAGTGGCCTAGGAATAGGGGAAAATACAGGAGAGGGGGCGTATGGCGGAAATTCTCGTTTAGCTACCAAAGGGCAAGCGCTCTAAGGTGAATCCCATGCGCTGGCTCTGTGCCAGCTCCATCAATTGATCATCGCTGTAGACGCGAAAGTTGCCCAGCAGTTCGTTGATCAGGGGCTAGAATTGGGTTTGTGAGGAAGAACAGCTGAGATCAGATAGGATTAGAAAGCCGTCTACTCACATCATCCGAGCCGCGAAGCGAGGAGACCCACGCCTCTGAGTTGCCCGCCCACTGCAGCCGCTGGGCGAGCATGCGCTGCATCGTGTCCGCCGCCTCGTCCAGACTGGGTATGGTCAGGATGCTGGCCAGGCCGCCGCCATAGATGCTCGTGATGATGATGTCGTTCAGGAAGCAGGCGAAGAGCAGCACTCGCACCGTTACGGAGCGGGCGTGGCTGTTGCCCGACTGCGAGAGAAACAGCTTGAAGGTCGTCACGAGGCCAAACTTCGTGCTCAGCCACCAGCCGTGACTGGGCGTGGCGCCAGCATACAGCTCCAGCTCACTTCTGTGGGCCAGCACCAGGCCGAACGTCTCGATGCTCAGGCAGAGCAGCACCGCCGCCCAGAGGGTGGCCTGGAACGGCTCCAGGGGCAGGTACCAGCTGGCCAGGCGCTTGGGCGCCGGCACCAGGCACGTAATGCCCGAACGCACCAGGTACATGGAGAGGTCCAGATAGGTGTAGTCATCGTACCACGTGTACATGGCGCTAATGCAAATGTCCGCCTTGTGCCCGAGAATCATGCCCAAGGCGCCGTCGCCCGACATGTTGGGATAGATGTTGCCCCAGTCGTTGGCATCGGCTATGCAAGGGGAGCATTATCCCCGATAGATCTATTTATAGATTCCCCATCTACTTACATGTATCAATCTGCACCGTACAATTGAATTGGGCACAAAAGCTGAGCACGACTTGGGTCTCAGTGCCATCGATGTAGACTTGGGATAAATTCGAGTTCATTGCCACGCCCACATCACGCGCATTGCTCGGACTGGTCTAAATAATACCCAATTCAGTTAGATTTACATTCTCCAAAATCGCCAACTCACATATTTGATGACTGTGTAGGGTCTGTAGTCAAAGCAGGCGATGATCACCTCACGGCCCTGCAAATCTCTGAGTTTATCCGGAAATAGAGGAACATTGTGCTGAAACAGCTGCAGTCGTGCATCATAGCGATCTATCAAGATGAGCTGCTGCGGCTGCTCTGCTCTGGGTCCCACATATTTATTCGTCTTCAGCTCAAAGTCTGTTGCATTCGCATAGCTGCGCAGTACGAAAAGTATGTTGGGCTGATCTGAAAAATATATAGGATATATATTATAGGCTGAGTTTTTGCAAATTTAATGTATTAAAGAAAATATATAATAATAATGATATATATTATAATTAGCAGAGTAGTAATTTAGTTAATTACCCTGAAAAAAGTAGCTGCTGCAGCAAGCCTCCTCATCCAACTCCTGTGCCACATGAGCAAATACGAATTTGTTGCGCATCGAGCGCCAAATGGAGTACATGGAGGCCTGTGCGAAGGCGGCCACAAAGCGGCTCATAAATTCGCCAAAGATCAGAAAAGTCTGTGAAATGTAGAAAAATAAAAAATACGTATAATATATATAAAAAAATATATCTATAATATGAAATGAATGGCTCAGCTCTCACCTCGCAGTGTGAGCTCTCTATGGACAACGTTAGCTTCAGCACTAGATCGTCGTAGTGCAGCCCGAGCTGCTTGAGCTGTTGTCTCCTCACCTCTGCATCGATCACATTCTGCTCAAAACTTTTCTCCAATGTATCAATATTAATGCCTATGATACTGGAGTAATCTCCAGCTAGTTGAAATTCGTAATTCTTATGCCAGAACACACAAATCGTGCTGTTCTGCAAATAATCCCTAACTAAATACAAATAATGGTTAATATGAGAACTATATACAGATTTATCTACATATATCAAGATTTTATTTATTATTTATATTTTAAATATTTTATGCATTTCAATATTATATATTTTTCTTTAAATATTCTATATATATTAACTAAATCGAAATAATTGTTAATATGAGAACTATATATATGTAGATACAACTGTAAAAAAATGGTATACATTAATTATATTTTAAATATTTTATATATTATTAATTTTATATATTTTCTTTAAATATTTTATATATACTATCTATATTAGATATATTTCATATGTATATATATTTACTGATAAGGTTTAAAATCAACGACCAGGCACTGTCCATGGCTCTGACTTAACTGGCTAGAATTGCATTGTTTTGGCCAACGAATTGCCAATTGTCAATTGGATAATTATTGACATACAAAATTTGTATTCAATTCTGTTTATTTTTCCTGCACAAATTAAGCAATTTGCCATTTGAACCCTAAACTGTTTACTAAGACAGGAAACAATTTTAGGATAATTTATAGGAAAAATATTGCAAAATAGCAAGAGTATTTCAGAATACCAGATAAAATATTAGAGTTTTAATATATATATATATATATATATATATATATATATATATTTTAAAAAAATTTTTTTCTTATTATTTATTTATTTATTTTTTATTTGTCACGCTCTTCTCGTGAACAAGTGAAAAACAATGCTTCTAACTGCATCAATTTAATTTTTAAATACCTAAGAAAAGCTTAGACAAAGAATTTATTCACAGCCTTTAAAACATGGAAACTTTGCTAAAAGTTACTATAAAAAAAAAAAAAAATTGTATTCGTAGCTCAAAGTCAAATAATTATATTTGCTGAGCTATTAAAGTGTATTTACAAAAATACTTAAAGCAATTACCCTTTAGAATCAATAAAAGTATTCCAACAATTTGTATTTTTTGTTTGGAACTCAAGATAAATACGAAATACGTACATAATTACAGACAGATCTTGATAATTTCGGAAGATTTCAGAGTTTTTGTTTGCAGCGAAATTGTAGCGTTTTGTGCAGACAATGCGGAAATTAATAAAAAATAAACAAAAACAAAAATACACAAAAACAAAATGCGTACAGTAAGAGCCACAGTCACAGTCCGAGTTACAGACACGAAGACAAAGAGTCGAAAGTTGTTGAAAAGAAAGAAATTTTAATTGATTTTAAACGAGAAATTAAATGCGGTAATACCGAGGTATAAATATATACGAACACGTCTAAACAGCCATGTCAGCCAGAAAGTGTCTATTATCGAAGGGAAAACACAGTGCACTGCCAGGGTCAATTCGTTCACTCTCTTCCACTTTCTAAGGCTAACTCCCCTACCAGCACCGGCCGCCCTACCGTGAATTCCCAACTCGTACTGGAGCGTCACGCATACAATCAAATGCGATTTCAATCTTGAATTGAATTCTTTGATATAATCAATTACATTAAGTAATTGAATAGAATCGAAGCTGATTCAGCTTCTTTATTCAGCTGTTATAGAGGTACTTGCAAGCATAACCTTGATAAGAGCCTCTTTATAAGGAACAAAAATTTAACTACGGATAATTTTCGGTGCCCATCTCCCGTAGCTCTCATTTGCCTATTTTGCTTTCTAGGAGGTCTGCTGTCATGGCCTTTAGTATTTCCCCTTTTATGATTTCCGTAAGAAAGGTCTCAAATGGGGTTTTCCGTATACCTCTTGCATTTGCCTGCTCTTTTTGTTGCATTGTGAAGCGTGTGTTTTCTTCTGAAAACCTTCTGGAGTAAGGGAATTTCCTGCCTCTTTGACTGAGTTTTCCTTAATTAGGAAAAAACTACATAGTGAGGCGTTCTGAAATATTTGGCAATCTATAAAGCTTTTGTTTTAGTGGTGTAAAATATATGATTACGATTTCAGCTGTGTTTTCCCTAACCTTTAAAACTTATACACAATCTCGGAAATGAGTTCACATTTCTGCAGTATTTTCCAGTCCATAAAACTTTTGTATCAGTAGAGTAAAATATGTGCCATCTTCTTTTTCGTTATCTTTAATTTGTAGCATTTGTCGAATTTTTTGATATCAATAAAAAATGAAGGAAAAAAAAAAGCAGAAAACAAAAGAGGCGTTCGCATAAAAAATACGTCAACTCATAAAAGTGTTTGTTGCTCTTGTTTGTGAGTTTCGCAAATGTCTATTGTGCGGGAATTGCTTTTCTATTGTCGCGCAGCAGGTTTGGGTTTGGGTTGGGGTTTGGCTGACGTATTTCGGGTTTCATTAGCTTTTGCCTAGTGACAACAATAAAGCGATTTTGGTCAAACAGAAGCTGACACAATTTTGGACACTCAGCCATCATAATGTAGGTTTAAGTTGATGTGGGCTCTTTCTCCATTCAAGTCTGCATTGAGGGCAATCAAGAGGCACAGCCAAGTTGAGCTGAAAATGTATAAATTAAACTCAGAACAGACACAAATACCTACATAGTTATGTGATGACTGACTAACTGGGAATGAAGTTATTCATATAGTAATCATAATATTTTATTCATATAGTAATCATAATATTTGACTACAGCTGCCTCGCTTTCCATATATGGCCAAGAGTGTTTTGCTCATTGAAGCAGCAGCAGATGCAGCCACAATTATCGTTATCGAAACAATCTTATTAACAATAATAAACAAAAGAACATTCGTCACCATGGCTCAGCGCCCAATTAGGTAATACCAATGTCAACTCCAGTAATCGAACGCAGCTCGTTTCGCTGGCCGATCAAGGCAGTAGTCGAGGCAAAGTGATTTTAGCCAACCTTGCGAAAGGTTTAATCAAGCCAACTATCAACAATAATAATAATAATATTTTAGTGAATTGTCAAGAATTTGTTAGGGTATTACTATATATTTTCTGACTATAAATAATTGCTAATTTGGGAATATTTATATACGGGCGAAATAATAGAAATGTAGTTGGTATTTATTTAAAATCTAGAGAAGAAATATTTTCCTCAGCTATTTAATCAAAAATAAAATATGTATTCTTATATAAATATACTTCTCTATATAATCGATTATGAACTTCCATTTCCAACGCATCCAGTCTGGCTTAATCATTGTGAAAAATGAAATTAATGAAAAAGTAAACATATATAATTTAAATTCATTAAATAGAAAATGAGTTTTTCCTTACTATCTAATTTCGAGTTTCTAAACTAATCTTGAGTTTATTATAAATTGGATAGCAAAGAAAAAGTCATTTATTGTAGCTTTTTAATTAAGATTTATTATTACATTGTGTTCTTCAATTCAATTAATCTAATTCAAGTTTTCCTTCGTGATACATATCAAATTATAAATTGTTTTAGGCCTACGTTTTCAAAGTAGATCTGTGAGCGTACTCTTAGCAGGCATAAATGCGATCGTCATGGCACATTTGTAGATTAAGTACCTGGTTAGAGCAGGGCACGGCGCATTAGGTTTTTCACTTTCGACCCGGCGTCGGTTTTCTTAGGCTTTCCTTTCGTTGGGCTTAAATGTCAACGGCACTGCGACGAGATGGCCGAAACGCGGCTGCTTTTGGGCCATGATTGCCCGCAGCGCCGGCGATGAAATCATAAATTAATCTTACGATGCGAGCTGTGAGCTGTGAGCTCTGAGCCAAGAGCCAAGAGCTGTGAGCCGAGAGCTGCACAGATTCAGTTTAATGGAATTACATTTGCTTCGTATACAATACTTATTTGTTATGAGATCATTTCGCTGACTGTTTTTCGGTTTTCTGCCTTTTCTCCGTTTTTCTTTTCTTTCCTTTTTCGTTTTGTTAAATTTAATGAATGAAAAGTCAAATGAAAGATTTCTTGCTGCACCGATTCCACCAGCCGCGTTTCACTTTTCATTGAACCCTCCGCCCAGTTTGGACATGGTTGACTGTTTGGGCCATAATAGTAGCTGTAATATTTTGGATCGCTCCGCTCCGACTCATGCGTAATCCTTTTGTGGGCGCTTGTCTTCCGTTTCACGTAATTGCACAAGCGGCGATCGCTGCCAATGCCGGTGACGCCCCAAAATAGCAAAAGCGACAACAACAACTCGAAGCCAAACCATTGCATGCTCTGGGCCATAAACGGATAAGCACGAACATACGAATTAAGCTGTTCATTGGTTGAGCCAGTTAGCCATCATATCACTAGCTATCGCTTAAAGCCATGTACTACAAATGTATGAATATATTGAAATGTTTATTCCGACAAAATACATTAGTAAGCGCCGTTATGCAATGCCAAATAATCAATCGGTTTATTAGATCCTTTCCTCAGTGCGCTTCGTTAGCAAATGGAAATACGCTGCTCACGCATGCACAAACAATAATACAGGCACACATACAGGCACACATACAGGCACACATACATGCATGCATACATCCATGCTCACATGCATAGAGCCAAATGCATGCAAGCCTGCTAGCAAAGGTCAATTTTTGTGTTTTTCTTTTCCTTTTTGTTGCCGTTATTCGAAGTCAGTTTGGCAATTCGCAATACATTCATACAAACATGCAGATGTACATAATTTTACAGCTACAAATGCGACAAGCATACGTAGGCTGCCGATACAAATGTATAAATAGATTTCTTGTTCTAACATCCAATTGTGGTCATTGCCCGAGTTGTGTGCGCGTGTGTTTGTGCGGCTGTGTGTGTTTGTAAATGCAACCAGATCATACAGTCTGTGGGAGATATTTCTTGTTGACAGAGGCTGAGCACATCAAGCCAATTGCATACGCAGCTGGAGGAACATTGCTTGCTTACAACTTCACGCAACATGCTGTATTCGAAGCAGAAACTTTTTTATTGCTAGTTTACAACTTCCCGCAACATGTTATATTCATAGCAGAAGCTTGCATACGCAGCGAAGCTTCAGCTTTTTGTTGCTAGCTTACAGCTTCATACAACATGTATACAAAGCTGAGCTTGCCCTTGGTCTCACTTCGTTTACAGTCGCACACAACATGTTGCATCGAGCCGAGCTGACGCCAAGCTGCCTTGCCCGACGCCGATCGAGCCGAGCACGCATCAGTTTGAGCCGATCTTTCGTGAGAGTAACAACGTCGCGCATCGCAGTCGAATCGAGTCGGGCTTTTGTTTTAGCAGCAAAGAGATTCAGTGAATTTGCATAACTATGAAGAGCTGCGTTGAGTGCCGAAAGGCAAGCGCCATATGATTGGCCGCGTTTCTTTATTGCCAATGATCAATAAAGCTGCAACAAAGACTGACCTGCGCAATTGGAGCCCATCAGCATTTGCATTGGAATAGCTCAAAAGCTGGGCGGCTCTGTGACTGTGACTGTGTTTGTGTTTGTGAAATGACTTGTGAAATGTGAATTATGAATCTGTTGCAATTCTGTTTATTTGTTTAAAAAGATACACGTGTTGCATCTTGACCAGATCGAGATAAACAAAAAAAAGTGAAACTTTTGTAAGCGTGCCTGGAAAATGCCCATTGGCAAAGTGCCGCAGGCTTCGCACCGCAAGCCGTCGAGCAGTGGTGAATCCACCTGCTTGGACAGCACCATCGACTCGCGGATGTCGAGCAGCGAACTGCTACCCATGGAGCTGCTCAAGGTGAACTATGTGCACCAGTGCAAGCAGGCCATGATGCACAAGTCGAATGAGCCGCCGCCCCCGCCCGCACACCTGAACAATCCGGCGCGCTTTGTCGGCTATCGTCGGCAGCCGCCGCAGATGCACAGCGTCTCGCAGGTGAACGCAGCAAGGAAATCCATGCCTGTGCAGGCACTGCCGCCGCCCACGGTCGAGTCCTGGCTGCTGCTGGCCAAGCAGCCCGAACAGCAGAGGCGCTCGGATGATCTGGATGACTGCTGCTGCTCCCGCTCCGGCTGCTCGTGCTCCGACTCCAGTTCGGACGTCACCGAGACCAGCACCGTGACGCCGGACTGCGAGAAGTCGCAGAGCTGGAATTATCGTGACATACGGCGGGACTTGGCACGTGCCGGCGCCGCTGCCGGCATCAGATCCCGGGCAGATCGCATAGCGCGCATCGAGCGCAGGGAGTGCCAGGATGAGGAAGCCGACTGCACAGCCTGCCTGCGCCAGCCGGAGCCCGTGCGCCGCCTGGCCCCATCAGCCATGCCCACAGCAGCCGGAAGCGGCAATCGTGGCCAATTGAGATCGCGCATTCCAAAGCCGCTGCTGCAGCGATCCGCAGAACCATCGCCCAACAGTGAGGCGAATGCGCAGCTGCAGCGTCGCGTGAAGCAGCTCTTCCAGCAGGATATGGCCTACAATCACAGCGCTGCACCCCGTTGGATGTTCCAGAAGGCCGGAGATAGCCGCAGTCCAGCAACGCCCACAGCCAGCACCTCCGCCCAGCAGCAGCCAAGAGTCAAGCTGGAGCGGGTGCACATACGCAAGAAACGCCAGCCGCTGCACATCGTCAATCAGCTGGCCAGCGATGGCACCAGAGGAGGAGGAGGAGGAGAAGCCGGTGCTGCTGCTGCCGAGTGCAGCACGAGCTACAAGCTGCAGCAGCAGAGTCCGAAGATGAAGCAGGTGGAGCGCGCTAAACGCTTCTCGCTGGAGAGCTGCTCGGACTCGGGCGTCTCCTCCTCCAACGACGCCAAGGAGCAGCACGCGAAGCAAACGAATCTGCAGCGCAGCGAGAAGTGCGTCAGCTGTGTCCAGGTGCCTGAGATGCAGCTGCCCGAGAAGCACAAGCAATACGAGCGCACCTCTGGCACGGCTCAGCCCAAAGCCCATGTGGATCCCAACGATGTGCAGAACTTTGCCAAGAAGAACCTGACCAAGGCGACCACGAATGAGCTGCTCACGGCGGCTGCGGTGCAGGTGAAGCAGTGCAACATCGAGAAGGAGCGCAAGCTGAACAGCCTGAAGCATCGGGAAGCCGAGCAGCCAAAGACTTCGACCACCACCATTAGCATCGATGACAGCTGGGTGCAGGAGTCCATCATAGATCCCTGCGACGACTACATGGAGACGGATTCGCTGATGCTGCCGCCTCCTGCTGCCGCTCGACCCATTTCCAAGCACAACAACAACAACAGCGTCAAGATCTTTGTGTGCAGCAACGGCAACGGGGAAGGCGATAGGGATGACCACCAGGTCGACAGAGTTCCACGGATGGGTTCTTCAGCAGCCTGTCTGGCTCTGCCCCCATCTTCGTGCGCCTCCACCTCATCCTCCGGCTGCGGCGGCTCCAGTCGCGACACCAGCTCCTTGTGTGAGTCCGAGCAGGATTGCTGCTCCTGCTCCGGCCAGCAGCCGAGCTGTTTGGCCAGCGACTGCTGCAATGCCATCGGCGGCGTCTTCTGGAACAATGCGTGCTACGATATTGAAGCCGAGGTCAGCGCCAACGCTGGCGCCGGCTGCTGCTGCAGCATATCCAGCTGCGACGACGACGATTGCTCCTATTACGCCGGCGACTTCAGCGCGTCCAAATTGGACCACATTCCGGGCCGACGCGGCGAGCTGCTGCCACGTAACAATAAGCTGCTGCGAAAGGTAGGAATTCCCGCGCCATTCCAGACCCAATAATTATACGCCTCTAATTAGCCGGAAGCCACGAAATACTTGTACCTCAACTCGCTGCTTCCGCTCCTCCGCCTCTGCATATCCACGGATTGCATTGACTACCATTTCCTAGGCTAAACATGCGAACATGTTTATTAGCTCACCTGCCGTGCGATTATCCATTGCACGACTTGACAGCTGCAGCTGCAGCTGCAGTCCGTCTATCTGTCCCCACAGTTGGGTCAACATTTGCCAACTCCCACTGGGCTGCTAACTGAGCGTTTAGCAGCTGCTTGCGAAATGCTCCCACTGGATGAGCTGACCCTTTGCACTATTGAGCCAAAGAGTTAGCATTTAATTAGGCAAATTAATCACAGGCATGTTGACCTATTTTCCAGTTTAAAATATAGTTAAAAAACTTATATATAAATAAATTAAAATAAAAGTTGAATCAGCATATAAAATAATAATAATAATATAAATCAAATAATAAGAATAATAATGAAAATGATAAGAAAAACAAGTAAACGAAAAAGAATAAGAGTAATAATTATTCTGAAGATATAAACATTATAATAAAATGAAATATATGAAAAAATAAATAGCATTAAAAAATAAAATATAATAGTATACAAAAATTAAAAAATAAAATAATTGTAAAATAATTTTTTAAAAATTAATAAATAAAATACATAAAAAAAATTAAAATCATTAAAAAATTAATAAATAAAATACATATAGAAAATTGTAATATATTTAAAAAATTAAATGAATAAATAAATAAATAAAATAAAATAAAATAAAAGAAGTAAAAAATAGAAAATATATAAAAATTTAATAAATAAATTGAATAAGTGAAAAATAGAAAATTATAGAAAAAATTAAATAAAAACTTAGAATCCTCTATAACCCATACATAAATAAAAAAACAAAAAAAACAAACAAAAAAAAACATTATTAGCGTTAACAAAATATTATATTGAATTTTATTAATTTGAGATTAACCATGTTTTCCCATTTGTCTGTATTAAACCTATTGAAATCGGATTGATCAGCCAAGAAATAGTAATTAGTTGCTGGCACGGCCATATTTAGGGTAACTCCTAGTCGATCAGTTCTGCTAGAGCAGCATCTCTTCCTTGGGTTATCAGCGGAAATGTCACAAAATTTGTATATCCGAATCCGAAATAAAAATAAATATAATCCTCATTAAAATGCGTAGTTAATACGATTTTAATGCAAACCTGATTTGTGGCTTTTCAAACTCGCCTAGCCGCAAAGCAGATAAAGTATTTAAAATCCCTCAAATCGATTCGCTACATGAAAAAGCTGATACAATTGGGGAAATGTTGTAATAATAAAATCAAATTTATTTGATTTACATGATATTAGTATTGATTGCTTTTGATATGATAAAAGAAAAATATAATATAAAATATAAGATATAGTTAAAGATTGACTACAGCTTTTACTTTACTACTACTATTTCTATAGTTTTATATTAATTTTTAAATATTCCATTTAACCACCGAGTCACAAATATTGTTTGAATTTTTGCTTAATTTTTTATTGCAATTTTTAATGGCTTTTTAGTCTGGGGATTTATTTATAGGTTTTCTTTTTTCCTATCTGCTGCCATTTGTTAACAGTTAAAAGTATTTTTATCTGATATCATATTCGCTTCGTTTTGCATTCAAAAAACTTGGCAATATTTAAATATCAAATATATGAAATGATATATTAAATTATGCCCCATTCAAGTTTTTATATCAAACTCATATATACATATATATTTTGTTATATAAAACAAAAGTCTGATTGAGAGGAGAAAGTATATCAATGGAGTTCGAATGAGCTGCTGCTTCAAATTGAAACTGTGAATAGCTCAAACTGTAGTAAATCTCTTGAGAATATATACATATTCTACGCTAGCTATACCGTAATACTTTTATATATGTTATAGAGAAACCCTCTATTAAAGATGCACATCCCATCAATGTGCCAGTCGTACCAAAGATGCGGAAATGGGGAACCATGGGAGACCCCCCTTGGCGTGGCATGCTCCAATGACACGAAACGACAAGAGCAAATAACTAGATATATGTGAATATATGGGTGTATATTTATATAGATGTATGGGCTACCTGCACAAGAATAGGTGTGAATATGTATGGTATGTGAATATTACCTAACTGAAAGTCTCATAAAGCGAGGGAGAGAGAGAGAGACAGAGAGACCCATCAAAGGTGAAGGTGGCGTGTAATATTTGTGGCGTGTGGCAGGAAGCAACGATTCATTAATAAACAAAAAAGCAAAAATAAAAAAAATATATTTAGCGAACAACAACAACTACAACAACATCAGCAAACACTTCAGCATTTGATTTGGTTCGTTGTGGTTTTCATTTCGCGGTTTCATAACAAATTACGAAGACACTAGACGTTTTTACATATATCTATAAGCATATCAACATATACATACATATATATACAAGTCAACTTGGGTCTTCATTAACATTAGTCTATTGGCATATTATATATATACATGTGTGTGTTTGTGTGTCAGTCGCATAACTGTTTAACTAGTTAAACTTAAATAATTGCCAAGCACTGTCTGTCCGTCTGTCCGTCTGCCCGTCCATTCGTCCATTCGTTCACTCCAACTTTAAGCGACAATTTGCGCCAGCTCTTAACCTCCCCTCCACCCCATGGAGCTTAGCTGCTCTTATGGCCAAATACGTAAGCCTTCTACCACATATCGCACTCTCTTATTGACTCTCACTCTCGCGTCAGTGCGTGCCCGCGTGCATTTACCGTTAATACCTTTCACTTTCCCTATTGTATCGAACCATCTTGGACACATAGAAACTTATATGGATTTGCTGTGCGTTTTGGCTAAGAGAATTCAAGAATCTTTAAATGGCTTTTACGGCGTGCTACTTAGCTATTAGCCATGGCTAAGTAGTCATCACAGCATTTGTTGTAAGAGAATATCAAATTTGACTTGTTCATCAATCCAACGAATTCCATTCCAATCTTTATGATCTAACGGTGCACGGTTTAAGCCCAAGCTGAAGCTGACGATGAATTTCTCTGCTTCTGCGCTTTTTGGCCTCGTTTTGGACCGCGCTCCAATTGGTGTCAGCTGGAACCGAGAGCTGAGCTGAACTAGTTGAACTCCCGGCTAAACTCAATGCCCCAACTTTTTGCGACCTTCACTTGTTTCCCAAAAAAAAGGTGATACATATGGAGTTTTGTCACTTCAGTTTTTGCATTGTCCATGGCTCGAACCCCACAGCGTCTCTCAAGTGGCTCGCCACGCGTCACGCATGCGCGTTGACTTGTCAAAGAGAGTCGCAATTTTCTCGCTTCTTCTTTTTCTTGTTTTGAATTTTCTATGAACACATCGTTAATTAATTATGCTTGCTCTCACTTTTTATGATCCTACGCACTATTTATTAGAGCTCATCATCATTATTGTCAAATTAACTTTGGCTTATATTGTATATTAGCTATGATTTTTATAGCCGTTGTAAATGGAAATGTTTCAATGAGAATTAGCTAGTTAGAAATATATAGATTCTTTGGAATATACAAGGTCTCTACTATTTACAGTTAGAAGAAGGCATGGCATTAGCCAGTATAAATGTTTCGGATCAGCATAAAAAGTTGGGTTGATCTGAAATTCTATGATTTTTTGAGTTCACAGATCTGGTAAACTATTTGGGTTACTGACTTGATATTTGAAATATATATATTCTTGCATACATTATGCAGTAGAAACATTTCAGTTTTCTCTCAAACTCTTCTGATATCTATTTTTATATTAAATATATCATTCTTCCCTTAAACTGATTTCCTATTTTTAAGCTATAGACATTATATTGAAAATGTATATTCTAAAATACGTTTAACTGTGAAAACATATCACTTTTCTCTCAAATTCACTTCATAACTTTATTAGCAATACAAATAGAGATTTAACCCTATTTTCACGCCTAACCTAAATTGAATACAAACAATTTCGTTCATTACTCACACACACTTCTCTGCTAATCTTTCAATTTTCCTGCAGTGCTTAGAAAGTAAATCAAATTGAAATGAAAATGAAAGAAAATAAATACAAGAAGAAGAAGAAGCAGAAGAAAATAGTTAGCCAACTGAAAAGTGAAGATCATTAGACCTTGTTATGAACAATGAAAGAACCGAGTTAATTCTGACAGTCGAGTCGAGCAGTTTGCGCACTCTGCAATTAAAAGCAGAAACAGACTGTGCGCCATGGCTAACTTGGCCAATTGGGCAAAGTTAGAAAGCGCCAAGGCTAGGCAAGGCAGCAATTATCTAATAGACGCCGGGTGAAGCGCTACTCTGGGGTTAAAGCAGCCAAAGTAATTAAAAACCTCCCACAGCTTAGAACCAGCCACGTCGTCCACCTTTAACTGGGTAATTAGACTAGAGTTGTGCACGTTAAGTTGGCTAAGTTGAGCTCTTGTTATTGTTTTTGTTTTTGCTTTTGTTTTCGGCATATGAAACCAAAAAAGCGTGCAGAGCGCCCATGGAAAGTCAAGCGAGTTGACCCAACGTCGAGTGGTCAGAGCCTGAGCCCAACGCAGCGCAGCGCAGCGAAAGTGGTAACAGAAAGCCAGCCAAGTTCGCCACAACAGAAACAGAAAAAGAACCGTTTTTCACATTTAAATAAACGTCGTCTAGTTAGAAAAGTCTCAGCTCTAGGCAACCTGTCGAAACCTGAAGAAGATTTGTCCAAATCGCTGCCGGCCAACAGATCTATGCCAACCGTTGTGTCTCCTATTAGCCGGTCTCTGTTTTAATTTTCGTGCTTTTGGTGTCTTATTTTATTTGTTTGTGTTGTTTGTTGTCTTCGCGCTTTGTTCCCTTTAGTAGCGTGTTGAGGGCTAAGTTCAGAAGCTGACCATAAATCGTGTCAGATTTGCGCATTCACCTCAATCAGCATTACCTGAACTGAACTGAACTGAACTTGAGCTCATAGATAAGATAGAGATTATTATAAATACTATTTAAATCCCTTATCTGCCTCTGTTTCTTGCAGACTGGTATACATGAGTTACGACCCAGATCCATGGACGGTGTCATTGACTCGGGCGTTTCGTTAAATGGCGACACCGGCTCGAGTCCCGACAATGGCGAACACCTGCAAAATCAACAGGTGAGTCAACTACTCAATTATATAAAATATATGAAATATAATTAATTTATTAAGTAATATGTTAATTATTACTGCAATTTCATTTATATAATATATATCATATATTATAGTTAATTAAATAATATATTATTAATTATTACTTTAATTTTATTATTTACATTAATTTATTTACGTACAATAAATAAGAAATAAAATAAAAAATACAATTTTATTATCTATTGATTGCTTTAATTTTTTTTTTTAATTACATAAAGAAATATATAAAGATAATTGAAATAATCTTTTTAATGTAATTATTTTAAATTAAAAAAAAATAGATATTAACTATTAAATTATTGCATCATTTAATAATAATATTTTTAATTGTTATAAATTATTTGCTATACATATATTTTACCGTCTTATTTCTCATGTTTACAAATTTTTAAATTGTTTATGTATTTTATTTACAATTTTATACATATTAACTTTTTATATGAGACAAAAAGAGAATAATAAAAATAAAAAATAAAAATTGTTCCATAAATTATTATAGATCAAACAGCCTTCGATAAAATATGTGTCAAAAATGTCATCCAAGTATGTTTATGTTCTTCAAGCAAAACACAAAATTTTAAACAGGATCACAAACTAAAACATTAAAATTAAAAACCAAAAAAAAAAAAATACTTAATATAATTACAGCCATTTTGAAACTCTTCAAAAACTTTAGATACTCATAGATAATTTGGCGAAAACAATTCAACTATTCGAAAGACTTCGTAACACACAAGTTTTTACCTCAAATTGAACGCTATAAGCGTCATAGTTGTTCAAAGTTTTATTTATAGTAATTTTAAATGGACTCAGAAACTAAACACTAAAATATTATACTATATTATATACTTTTTTAAATCAAATCACGATTCCAAAAGACAGTTTAATTATGTTGATTAATACTAATGATGAGGTAGAGAAACCATAGATTATAATTAAGGTAGAAATGCATTTAACTAAGATCTTGCATATTTCTCTCATCTCATTTTACAGGATGCTGAGGCGAGGAAACTGAAACGAGGTCACGTGCTCACTGAGCTGCTGGAGACGGAGCGCATCTATGTGAATGAAATGAGCTCGATTCTAAAGGTAAATATGAAATGCACTATATAGATATAAATATAGATATAGACATAGATCGAGATCGAGAGAGATTGGCCAACGGTATAGGCCTGCTCTAAACTCATGCAGCATGAAATCCGAGTCTTGGAAACTGCCCAGTGGTCAGCGAACTGAGACAAATTCGAGTATCTGCTGAGCTGAATTGGTTCTTGGCTTGGGTGCTCAGAGCTCAGAGCCGATGCGCCTGAATGCCCCTGCTTGTAATTAGTGCATTAAAACCATTAGGCTCTCTCTCTATGTGTGTGTGTGTGTGTGTGTGATGCCATCGAACTAAGAAGTTTCCATAAATAATTTGTTACCGATTCTCGGCCAGCCAAGCTACTAAAAATCATTTAGCGATTGACTCTTGTGCGCGACGGTACAGCAAACCAACGAGTCCACGGTATCCACGACATCCAGTCCGTAGAAACAGCCAGAGATATGCGCTACGGGGGCTACGATCTGAGAAAAGCCTCAAAACCAAAGACGCCGGCCGGCCAGAGCTCATTCCGGCTGCGACGGGTGCAGAATACGGCATGCAATATAGTCGGACGCTTCAATCTGAAGTTTGGCGATTCTCTGATCAAGCGCTTCCACTTGCCCTTGGCTGGGTCCGATGAGCCACGCGAGTCGCCGCTGTCGTTTCAAGGCTCGCTCTTCGACTCGCAGGCGTCCTGCGGCGGACTGAGCTATCGTCCTGCCGACTTTCGGCCACGTTTCGAGTCCTTCAGCCCGGATCTAGGCGGCAATTACATATTCGGCACGAATCTCTGCAACTTTGCCACGCACAATATACTGAATGGCAAGTCAACGATCAAGATCATCAACACGCTGAAGGAGTGCGAGGAGCGCGAATGCTGCGTGAGTGAGCGAGAGCTGGAGCTTGGCGACAGATACCTGCAGGAGTCGGCGACCTGCCCGATCACCGCCTATAATAGTCTGCAGCGCCTGAAGGATCAGCGTCGCACCATATTCAAGGAGCTGATCGAGCTGTCCAGCTGTGACGAGTCGCTGGAGTATCGACTGGTCAAGGACTATCTGGAGTCGAACAGCTACTCGGAAATAGAGAACGACACCGAGTTCAAGGACTACTTGCAGCGCAAGAACTACATGGATATACTGGCCTATCTTGAGGACAGCGAGCCCAAGAGCCTAATGTCCGTCTCGTCCTCGCTGGCGCGGGCTCAGAGCTCCCTCGGCTCGCTGAACAACACCAAGGTGCTCTCCACGCCCAAGTCCCTGAAGGGTCCCAAGCAGGTGCCCGCCGTGGATGTCCAATTGTGCAGCTCTTGCCGTTCCAGCTGGCAGAGTAAATTCAAATCCAATGATGATGGGCCAAGCTCCAGTCCAAGACGCACAGAAACCGCATTGACCAAGTCAACGACTGATTGGAACAGTTCATACCATGAAATACTCAACTTTTGTCGGCAGTTCTTCGAGGAAAGCGTCAGCGATGCCAAGGAGCTGCCCGAGCTGCGGAGCACCAAGTTCAAGGCGTCCAAGTATAAGCAGCTCCTGAAGGATTTCGTTGTGGCACAGGGCTACGCCAGTGTGGAGCAATATGTGGAGCAGAAATTTGGCCAATTCATAAGCAGCAAAATTAATGCATTTTGTGATAATGTAAAGCCAAGTTGAGATAACAATTGCTATAATCCATTTATAATGCCATATCTAACTCAATTTGTTGTTGTTGTTGTTCTCCTTGCAGGGCTACTTTGACCAAATGCAATCGGACGAGCTAATGCATCTGGTTCCGGCCAGTCTGCAGGGCAAAGAGGAAATACTTTTTGGCAATCTGCATGAGCTCTACACATTTCACAACGAGATCTTTCTGAAGGACCTGGAGAACTGCATTTCGACCACAGAGCTAGTGGCGCTATGTTTTGTGCAAAGGGTAAGGGATTAAAGAGATTATAGCTATGATTCCCTGACTCATATGTATGTCTATCTATATCTTACTGTCCTTCCAGCGTGACACCTTCTATCGGCTGTACTCGTTCTATTGCCAGAACATTCCGCGCTCGGACCGTCTGCGTGAGACGCTCGTTGATACCCACCTATTCCTGCAGGAGTGCCAGAAGAGATTGGGCCACAAGCTGCCGTTGGCCGCGTACCTGCTGAAGCCCGTGCAGCGCATCACCAAGTACCAGCTGCTGCTGAAGGATCTGCTGCGCTTCAGCGACAGCGGCAGCTGCACCAAGGAGCTGCAGAAGGCGCTCGACTGCATGCTGATTGTGCTGAAGTGCGTCAACGATTCCATGCACCAAGTGGCTATCACTGGATTCCCAGTAAGCAAATCCTGCCCCATTCAATATCATTGACAATCCAAGCTAATCTCCATATATTCCGATCCGCAGACCGATCTGGCGCAGCAGGGCGAGCTGCTGCTGCAGGACTCGTTTCAGGTGTGGACCGAGTCGAAGAAGGACATCCGGCTGCGCATCAAGCCACAGCAGCGGCACATCTTTCTGTACCAGAAGTCGCTGCTCTTCTGCAAACAAACCTCCAAAGCGGGTCACAACAAGAGTACCTACCAGTTCAAGCATCACGTCAAGGTGGGTGCAATCAATACCCTGTATGTGTATATATACCCATTCACTAATCATCTCTGCTGCAGATGTCACAAATTGGTCTGACGGAGTCCGTGCGGGGCGATGCGAAGCGCTTCGAGGTCTGGCTGCAGGGTCGTCAGGAGGTGCACACGCTGCAGGCGCCTTCGCTGGAGGTCAAGAACAAGTGGGTGGCGGAGATTAAGCGGGTGCTGCTCAACCAGCTCGAGGAACTGAAGGGGGAGAAGATCAAACAGTATGGCCTAAATCATCGCGGACTCAAGCAAACCACGTCGTGGGACACGCCCAATATTATACTGGGCACACCGGGTCGAACGATCAGCTGCGATGCATCCTCCGAGTCCTCCAATCGCAACTCCAACTGCAGCAGCGAGGAGAACGGCCCGGCGGCCGCTGCCTGCGGCAACTCGAGCGGCGGCGGCGGCATGGCCGACAGGGATCATCCCGAGGGCTGTGGCTGGAGCTCGGACTATTCGAACAGCGAGGACGAGATCTCGGTGAACGAGGACAACAGCACACCGGTAATTAGAACTTTAGCGCTATAGAAATCAGGTGTCCAGCCGACTCTTCCTATCGGTTAATAAGTTCAAGAATTACAAATCCCAAAAGTTTCAAGCTAATAGGACTTCAATGCAGTATCCTTCTTTCCTTTGCTGTACTTTCAAATCTGTTTCGAATTCAACTCTGTCTGTCTGTACTTTTGACATGTATTAACTAACCAAAACTATTCATTAAAACTCGACAAATATAACAAATAACAAATTGATTAATTAATAGTAAATAAATTTTAGAAAATATGCAAAGATTAAAGAGAAATCTCTCAAAGGCATTTAAATATTATTATAAATTCTACTATTATTCGGTTGAAATATTTATAATTATAAGCTGTAAATTTCGGTGCACCGATTAAAATTCTTATAAATTATCTTATTAATTTTATAATTTTAATTTAATTTTGCATATTCATGATATGTCTAATAATAATTTTATAGTCTTATTGGATAATTTTGGGTTTATCTTTTTACTTACATGACAAACACAAAAAAAAAAAAAAATGTAAATTTACCAAAATATAAAATATGTTTCATGTACATATATACATTCATATATAAATCAATCGGCCAACATACGACAGGGCTTTCTGGATCTGCTGACGCATTGGGCGTCCTATAATACCGATGGAGCTGCGTCCTCCACGTCCTTTGCGCGGAACACCAAATCCAACTCCAAATTTTATGTTTCCGTTGACCACTGAGGTGTGCTCCATGGTCCATCCGCAACCGCCCACCAAGTATACGTATTGTAGCCGTAGCTGCTAGGTATGCGCCGTTCCCCCCCTTAAGTAGTATGATGCACGCCCCTGCCTAATGCTCGAATGATGCTTGTAATCGTCAGTTATCTATAAGAGCAGCTGTGTTCCGTGACTAATTCATTATCCACATGCTGTAACAGTATCAGGTCGATTTATTGTTGCCCATCATAAAAGTCATAATCGCATGCCAAGCTCTCATTTCTTCCAAAGATTTTGTTGACTGCTGCAAATGAAATCATTAAATGTGTAGGCTTAGTCGTTGATTCTAGATGGTTACATAAGTTCAGTGTATTTAGTTTCATTATTATATTCGTATATATTGTATACTGGGTAGTAAAATGTAGTTCACAGCAGGACTCCCAAGCAATTGCAGAGCTGAAAGTCTGTAGTTAATATTTTCAACAATAATCAACAAATATATAGAGATAAGAAAACTCTTTTGAATATATGAAAATATTGGTATATCCTGAGGAAAATGTGGATATGAAAACTCTTTTGAATATATGGAAATATTGATTGAAGTTCAGAGGTTTTGTTAATTCAGACTGACTTGCCTCATTCATTAAATTTATATGAATAGGAGCTGTACCGCTAAGAGACTCACCTGCCCATAAGACTCACCTTTACATTTCATAGACCACGCTCGTTGGAGTAGGCTTTATAGAGATTAGCTGTGTTTTGTTGTACAATTATTATTTAAAATACAAAATATATACATACATGTATATGTATATATTTTTTATATATTTTTAAAAATATTTATTTTTATTAATTAAACTATATATTTTTTTATTAATTATATTAATTAATTATATAAATATATATAAAAATTTAAAAAAAGAAAATTAATTTAATTTAAATATATACATTTATTTAACAATTAAAAAAATTAAATTCGTTCTTTGAAGGTTAATTGCAAATAGTTAAATAATAAATTAACAAACGCTTAAAGCTTAAGTACTATATTAACACACACAGCTATAAGATTCACTCCAAATGCCTGCCTTAACTGTTTACATACTGTTTCTATACTATACTGAATGCAATTGCTAACCGGACAACAACACACAACAAATAATATATGTATATTGTATCAATTTCGATACAGGGCAGTAAATTCATTGCCCTGGCTGACTATACGGCTATGGGTCACTCGGAAGTTTCGATGCGAGAAGGCGAAGCTATCGAGCTATTAAAAGTGGGCTGTGCCGGCTGGTGGTACGTGCGCGTCTTAGGTAATTGATCCTTAAATGGCGCATGTTTTACAAACTGCATGTTTTCACTAAACATACACATATACATAGCTATATATGTCGATATTGATATTTTATTGATAATTAAAATTTAATTTCTAAACAGATACCAATGCAGAAGGCTGGACCCCGGGCGCATATCTGGAATCGATCAATCGAAAATCGTCAAGATCATCGAGCTGTAATCAGGAGCGAATAATTCAAAAATAAATTACTCAACACTGGAACTTACTTATCTCCATCTGAAAATCAAATGAAGTCGAGCTGCTTGACGTCGAGTTTTCAAAACTAAATCTATCGCCTTTTAAAATAGATATCAGTATTTGAGCTTCTTCTTCTCAAAGTCACACTTTATACACTCTTTTGATATGCTTACACTCTCGGAATCTAATCGAAAAATCCAAAGGGAAAACCTCCAAAAATCTCCATTCTGAATCTAAATAACCTTCCATTTCGTATCTAAATACCCTCGCTTTGGCAAAAGTGTAAATTGTGGATAAACAACAAAATAAATTAAATATATTAAATATATATTAGTTTATAGGATATTTCTTGTTGTTAATTTAAATTTAAATGGAAAAAAACATGCAAATATTTATATATATAGTTATATTAAGACTCTATGGCTTATGTATGTATGTAACTAGCTAGTTTCTAGTCCATTTTCGTCGCTTTGATGTATCGATGTACGTGCGTGCGCTCTATAGTATTTTGAGGACTGTTACAATGATTGTTAAGGACAACTTGTCGAATATTTCTTGAAACTTTATCAATATTTTAAAATATGGCATTCAAATAAAAAATAATATATTTATATAAATATACGTTTATGAAAATACGCCTAAGTATGTTTAATACATATACATAAATAAATATTATTAAATAACCGAAAAACGGCAAAAACATCTATATCTTGTTCCTTTTGTTATTGATATGATCAAATCTTACCTCTTCAAAATGGGAATGTCGAAAATTTAAATGTTATAAACCGTCGAGAAGCCTACATTCTAAAGAATAATCTAACCAGAGTTCTTTTGGACCAAGTTGATTGGTAAAGGGAAGAAGATTGAGAAGACAAGCAAACAATAATAATAAAAGATATAATTTATGTAAAAGAAAGTTTTAAAAGGAAATTTGGCCTACATTTTCTAGCTTTAGTCGTATGAATACATTGTATTTGTATTGTATTTATTTATTTATTTTTTTTTTTTTATATCTAATTTTTTTAACTATTCTGGTAAACTCTCAAAATTTAAATTTAAAATAATATTAAAAGAAAAAAAAAGTAGTTAAATTCAATCCAATTTTTTTTTCCGGTTTTTGTTTAAAATTTAGCCACACTCATAAAACACAAATACGCAATATATTAAATTTGTTCAATATATATATTTATTTCGTAGATATTAAACAATTTGAACGAATATAGTGGATGATACCTCAATAATACCACAAAGCTACCGATGATAACTTTGTTTAATACAGGCATCAGGTTGGGAATACATTTTTTTACAATTGATTTAGCTGAAGTACAGTATGGATACAGATTGACTCTGAGATTGTTTTAACTAACGGCGGAGCTAGATGATACAAAATTGTTGCACTTGCTTTACACGTTTGGACCGATACAGAGAGAGTAGAACTAAGAAAGGAATGTGTGATTATTATGAACAAAACAATTGTATTACGTACATATTTATACATACATTTTACTTAAATATTATCATATTCAATTCAATTTAAACTTTAGCAACAAAAACTTTGGGGATATTATACAGTAAATAAACAAATTTCTTCAACATGAAAACATTTCAATACTAATTGTGATTAGATGCGATCAGCAGCGACGCCGATTGCACACAAGTTACATTTTGTTGTTGTTCTTGATGTTTCTTTTCTTTAATGGATTGTTGCATCGCACTCAAGCCAAGCAACATTGATTTTGAAGTTGAAGCACAGATTTTAGTTGGCAGTTACTCTGCTGTTCATGTAAAATTGTTGCGCAGAGAGCAGCAGAGTCAAGACGTAAATGCACGCCGCAATCCAGCAGTTGTAGGCATTCTATAAAAAAGAGAAAATTTATTTAGTCACAATACCATAGAGTACGTACATATGTATGTACGTATATATTTGCAGGTCTATACACAAAGCGCATATACGCATATCGTGCATGATAAAAGGAGCAATAGTTTTTTCTTGTCCGCATTCTGAAGTCCTCACAACTCTCAAGGGGTTGTAAGAACATGTATGTACCTAATATTTACACACAAACATACATACATGTATGACTCGACATTGAAACACCAACCTGATTGTATGCAGCATTCGCTGCCGTATAGAATTCATCTAAAGTTTTGTACTCCTCAGCTAGTGGCAAATCCTCAATTAGTGCCACACTGTGTATGTAGAAGAACAGACCCATGAGCACCTAAAAAAATAAAACCGATTATTATGTGAATATTTTGGTCTTGTGACTCTTCCGTATGACCCCCACAAAACAAACCAAATTCACCAGCACACCCACTTACCAACTGCACAATGCCCCAAACGGAGATAATCAATCCGCATAGGGAGCATTTCGGACCACAAATTTTCATTTTGCTAGCTTCGTTAAACGCTGCTCGACGGGGTGATGTAAATAAGTTCCTTTTAAATTGGAATTCGCGTCGATAGACTTTTTTCGCAGAAGCTAGCAAATGTCAGGTGAAAATCATGTGACAGTTTGTGGTGAGTTTAGTGTGACCAACTGGAAACGTTTGTAATACATTTTACGGCATTTTGATATACTAAAAATACTGTATGTAAACTAAATAAATACTGGTATGCACCTATTATTATAAATTTATAAATAATGTTGAATATATAACTAATTGACAGATATCTATTTAGTAAAACGGAGTTTATCCAAGTTAAGCATTTCTCGATTTTTTTCTATTATTATAATTTGTTTCTTAGGTCGTAACGTGTACAACATACAAAACAATACACACACACACACTCACACATAAACAAGTAAACAGATTGTCAACAAAGTAAAATATTGTCCAGAAACATAAACTGTAAATAATTAAAACTCAAAATTACAGTAAAAATTACCTATGCCATCAGTTTATCACGAAAAGCAAATGAGGCAGTTATGTGCCTTACATGCACTAAACAATCTCTTTCAAGGCGATCAATCCTATACTAAAGGGGAACTGGATGATATCTGCAATAATTTGAGTCCAAACGTATGGATTAATCCACATCGCTCTGTGCTTGGCCTTGGAAACTATGATATTAATGTTATCATGACTGCGTTGCAAAAACGGAACTGTGAAGCCATTTGGTTTGATAAACGAAAGTAAATATTAATGTCTAGTGAAGCTGCGTTAACTCTAGTAACTACTATATTTGTAATTCCACTTAGGGACCCTTCCATTATAGACCTTGATTCAATTATTGGCTTTATCTTGAACATTCCATCTGATTATAAGTTCGGAGTAATTACTTTGCCATTGCGTAGACGACATTGGATAGCTGTACGTCGCATCGGGGATTCCTACTACAATTTGGACTCGAAACTCCGACAGCCGGAACTGCTGGGTAATGAGGCGGATATGTTACAGTTCTTGAGGGAACAGCTTTCCGACGAACTACATCAGCGGGAACTGTTTCTGGTACTCGAACAGCAAAGTGGCGAGAATACCGATCAGCGTTGGATCAAACCGTCCTATAGAAAGGCCGTTGTTTGACCAGAACAACGATCTGTGTCCTCTAGTCAATATATGGCCTATGCTGAAGGGATTATCAAAGCTCAATCAAAAATTTACAGTGTTAAAAGTAAAGGTATGAATAAGTTCTTTCACAATTTAATTATAAATAATGAGAAAGGTACAACTTGCATTTGATAAATATTGATTTATCAGAGGAATGAATATACTTTAAAGTGATCCACTTCTTTTTTATCAAATGGAAGATAAATCATTGAAGTTGGAATATTGTTGATTAAGATAGAGTTTTCGAGGAATATAATTAGAATGGTTTGATTGATCTTAGCTTAAGCTCAATGATTTTATATACAAATACATTTATATTAGTTATTGATTACTATTAATATTTGTATATATTCAATTGATAAACAATGTAAACTATTAAGGGGTTCGTTGAGTTACTTCTTGACTAGGGCACAGTTAAACGAATAATATTCAATATGCACAAAATGAATGCATGAATAATTTATTTAACAATGAATTTTCTTTTGTTTTTGAGTGTAAAAGCATTTTATTATTAAAATATATAAATACAATCGCTGCATTATAGGAAAATAATAATAAACATTTATAAAAAGTTTTGTGTAAACTATGGAATGATTCAAAATTTTATATATATATAGATTATACTATATATTCGAGGCAAATTAGACTTAGACTAAAGACAATGAAGGCGCAAATGGTGCTTAGAGATTTGCTTTTACGATTGGACGGATATGTTATATACTATTCGTTCGGAGATTCGAAGTAGACCTCATTTATGGACGTATTTGTGGTTACAATTCTTGTGCACTTAGATGTCCGTTTGGATGCTGCCTTGGGCTGGTGCTGTGGGCAGACGTGCTCCTGGCTGTGGGCGACGCGGACGGCTGGGCTCTGGAGCAAAATATGAAGGCTGCGCGGGCGCCGAAGGTGGGGCGGCCGAGATTGCTGCTGCTGCCTGACTCTGATAGTAGTCATCGCCGTATTCGCTTATTTCCCGGTTGCTGATCTCGTTGAGGCGCTTGTAGCGCTCGCGGCGTGCTTCCACTAGATAGAGTATGCCTGCGGGCAACAGCATGACGCCTCCAACTACGGCCAGGGCAAAGGACCAGCCCATATCGTTGTGTTGCCAGCCAGGCATCCAATCACGCGAATCGCCCTTGGCTCCAAATATGACCACAGCAATGAAACCGAATATGGATGCCAATACCTGGCAGGTGCCGATCGTCAGCAGCAACACCACGTAGCGATCGTCGTCGCGAGATGTGCGTAGGAACGACAACGTCAAGGGCAGGGCCAGCAGGCACATCACAAAGCAGAGCGTGGCGAAGAGCTGAACAGCGATATAGAATCCAGGCAGTAGGAAATCGTGTATTATGTAGTATTCCTCCTCGAAGACCCACATGCAGCCAGTAAAGTCGGTGTCGTAGAATCGATGTATGTCCTGGAAGTGGTTGAAGCACACCTCCCACAGGCCCAGGTTCGTGAAGCGTGGATTCTCCAGACGGCCATCGGTCACCAGCCAATAGGGCGTAGCAAAGGCAATTACAAAAAGTAGAAACGAGACTGTGGATATGCCTAGGGCGACTCGAGTGCTGCGGTTGGAGGCACCCATTGCCTGGCTATTGTTTGATTTACTTTAATGTAAAATTGCAGCAAACAAAAACAAACAAACGCAACTAGGCAATAAATAACAGAGAGCAAACTAATACAAAAAAATTATTGAGTCAGTAACACACAAAACACGCCCCGACCAGTGTGACCAGGTTTTCCGTTCAAATTTACTCAATTGGCAGCGTTGCCACATCGCTGGCACAGACTGCATACGTACGCGGCAACCCTGCAGAGTCTCTTGTTTTGTGGCATAAAAACTTGTTTGCGAAAGCAAACGAGGAAAAAATGTGTCTTTCTGGTGTTTAAATCAGCGTGGATTGCCGAAAATCATAACCCCTCACTGTTTGAGCGCGCTCTTCGCTTGTTTAATCCGCCGTAACTAAATACAATATTGTTTATAACGGGTGCGTCGCGTTGCATTTACACGAACGCCGACGGTAACAATATGGCTTCCGAAATCGCGGTAGTAAACATTGGAAACTTTGAAAAGATTCAAAACTTTTTAAATGATACCGCATACAAGGAGATACTCGAGAACAGCGAGAACTTCAACACGCGGCTGTGCATCGAGCGGCGGCTGCGAATGCCGTTCCTCGATCCCCAGACTGGCGTCGCACAGACGCATTGCGCTCTTTTTATGAAGCGAAAGCAGCGGATGCCCGGCTTTCGACATGGCCAAATCTACACGTATCCCTCGGCACGATGGCGCAAACCTAAGCGCCAATATTTACTTAATCCACACCATAGCTACCGCGCCTACCAGTACCGCGAGCACCATCTGACCCACCAGCATCAGCACCATCACGTGCCGCCGTCTGGTCCTGGAACGGTCAATGCACGTGATCATCATCAGACGGAGAGTGCAGGTAGGATATGCAAGAGATACACTTAAAGATATCATACACACCCATGCTTGCACACACACTCACGCACATGCACCCAACAAAACTCGTAGTAAAATCAATAAATCTCTTACAATTGTTTTTGCCTTTGTGTTCAGTCACATCCTTACCCACCACCCGCACTACCACCTCTGCATGGTGGTGTTATAGTCCTAAAACTGCCAAATAATAACAAATTTAAGAAATGCATAAAAAGTGATGTTTCGATTATTTGCTATATAATTAAGAATTAAAATGAATTGGCAATTAAATAAATATTTTTAAAATTTTCGAAAAAATATAAATTGATTATTTTTGATTATTATAATATTGATAAATATTATTGTAGTATGGTTTTACACTTATTTATTAACTACATCAATTAATTTATTAAAATTGATAACCACGACATACCAATTATTTCAATGTCAATTAATATTTTTCAACTGCATTTCATTCAAATTGGCCCACGGTTCAATTAGAACTGCTAAACATGTGTGAGACTTTATGAAGCTGCACATTCTATACATGCATACACACATACATATATACATATAAATGTATTCATGTCAGTGTGTGTGTGTATTGTTGTATGTGTGTACACAGCGCGTAGCCACCCCATAAGAAAAAGTTGCAAGCATATTTACAATGCGTATTGGGGGCTGATTTATATATGTTGCCATTGTATATATGTATGTATGTATGATTAGCAAACACAAACATACATACATACATACATACATAGAACATGCATGCATATATATGTCTACACATATTTATTTGTATTCTACTTTGTTGCAGCTATTGCGGCCACAGATGGCAATTCTATGGGCGCTTCAGGGGACAATGATAGCAAGGACTCTCATGCAAATGCGGAGAAAGATTGGTTCCATGAGGACATGGACTCATCGCATTACCATCACGCCGATGACTATGAAGACGACTTTGACTCTGACAATGACTTTGATGAGTCGTACAGCAGTAGAGGAAAGCGCAAGCGTGGCTCACGACCCCGCCGTACGAATGCAAATGTGGATGGCACACCGAAGCGGGGACGCAAAGGTGGCGGTAAGACACACTTGTGGCCCAATTGTGTTGCCAAGTGCTAATTAAAGCCTTCGCTCTCTTGCAGGTAATCGTCGTCGGAATGCAGCTGAAGGCGATACACCGGATCGAAGGAGGCGCGGCGGTGCTGGCAATAATGCAAATACTTCGGCTGCAGCTGCAGCGGCTGCCGCGGCCGTGGCACACGCAGCCAGCACAGCGGCTGCAGCAGCTGCCACTGGACTATACACAAACCACTCTAACTCAGCATCACCAATTCCCATTATCGATGAGACCTCACAGTCGGCTCTGGTGATGACGCCCACGCTACCCACATCGTACGAAAAGTCTTCTCTCAATGATGGTGGCGCCTCAAACGACTCAATCCCTTTGGCCACCATGGCTAGTATGGCTAGCATGTCGACAACGACTACTGCTACTCCAGCTATATACGCAACGGTAAACGCGCCACCAGCTAATCCATTGGCTAGTCCCAAAAAGCCCAAGCTACGAACGGAGCGTGAGGTGGCACAGCCTTCGCCCTACTGTGACTTCTGTTTGGGCGATCAGCGAGAAAACAAGAAAACCAATATGCCCGAAGAGCTAGTGTCTTGCTCCGACTGCGGTCGTTCTGGTCATCCATCGTGTCTGCAGTTCACGCCCAACATGATAATATCGGTGAAGCGTTACCGCTGGCAGTGCATTGAATGTAAATATTGCTCGATCTGTGGCACCTCCGACAATGATGATCAGCTGCTTTTCTGCGACGACTGTGATCGCGGCTACCATATGTATTGTCTGTCGCCGCCTTTGGTAACTCCACCCGAGGGCTCTTGGAGCTGCAAGCTCTGTATGGAGGAGTTCCACAAGCACAAGTAAAATACAATAAACAATTGAAGAGAGAACAAAGGCGTCGGCCGGTCGCTCGTTCAGTGGATTTGTGTGTCGATCGGTATCATTGTAAATGTATTTTTTATATTTTCACTTACATGCAGCTTTCGAAATTACGTATGCCTAATTTAAATTGTCATTTAAGTATTCCTTAGTAAGTCTCTAATCTTATGTACCTATATAATTTAATGATTTTGTATTCGTAACTACGCTTAAACGGAACGCCCCAAGTATTCTAAGTATTCCCAGACTTCCGCGCTAAATGAATTTACAATGTTCATTATATAAGGTCATTATTAAGCGAATCCAATCCTTGTCGTATCATTTATTTACAAAGTTTTTATGTAAATCTTATGAGAGTAATCTATGAAATTATAATTAACATAATACCAATAAATACTGCATGCCTTTTTGCATAATTCACTGGGTCTCGTTTCTCAATGCCGATAATATGATAAACAGACTATTGATACCCTGTATAATCTTGATTGCATATATATGTTATTGTATAATATAATATGATTTGTTAATAGGACTTTTGTCTATGGTCAAAAGTTAAAATAATCGCGAGATTTTTTCGAAATTATTATAGCCTTTATTTTAAAGCTTAGCATTTGATTTGATAATTCCAAAAAAAAAAATTTGTTTATCGGTTAAGATACAAATTCTTATTTTGATATTATTACTATTTAAAATTAAATCACACCATGCTCGGTTTAGTTATTATCAAATTGTTTTAAGATTCTCATAGTATTTTTATTTTATTATTGACAAAAGGTATTTGAATAGGTTTGCTTTTATTTAAGTTTACAGAATTATATCTCATCAACAAACACTCCAATTCGAACGAAATTAATTTTGTTTTATAAAAAATTTGTAAAATGTAATTAAATATAATTTGTAATTAATTTTAATAAATAGTTTTTTAGTTTTTATACAAGATAAATAGAGCTAACAAATTTTAATTAAATTTTGTATTTATTGTTTTCTTTCTGTTCTATATTTATTTAACTTCAAATCAAATTTCTGTTAGCCTTAAATTATTTTGCCCAAAGAAAACAACTGAAATATCGCACAATGGCCGATGCCTCGGGTTTGTTGATGTGAAAGCCTTTCACAACACCCAAGTGTCAATTAAAGACTAATTTCAATGTAGCTCAACAATTTGGTGAATGCTCTAACTAATAGTTCTAATTAGAGTTCTAGCAGAGGACTACTAATTGCCAAGGTGCAACTCAGGTGGTTGCAGTTGCCAAATTGCCGCTAGGTGCACTTAGTCCGTCGCAATGCGTTGCATCGTGTGGTACATCTCGCTGCTGGCTCTGCCAAGCTTGGTATTAGCTGCTCGGTTGGGTGGGCGCACCAAACGGTTTCTCATCTTTCCACGTCAATCGCCCACAAGACATCTGGTAGAATTCAAATTATAGTTTAGTTAAACCAAATTTGATTGAGCTTCTTCGTGTTTTTTAGTTTATTGCGGGCATAGGCATTCCCGCAGATTTGTCCTATGAATCCTTGGTCATTGGTCATGTACTTAAAACCGAGTTTTTTCTGCCCTACAATGCCACCGTATACAGGCAAAATCCCTATTTGCCGGAATACAAACACCAGAGTGTTCCCATAAATAGTAATTTGAATCAATTGCGACTGCTGCAAAAGCAGCCAAGCCAATTGCGTTGGCAGATTTATGCATACATTGAGCACATGTTGGATAAGTGAGTAATTTATAAGTATACATGTATATGTATATATGTATGTGTATATTTTCATATCAATTCCAGTTATGGCTATAATGGCCACGAGTGTATGCTGCAAGCTATTTGTGAGGCGAACACAATTCAGTTCTCAAAGGACTTTAGCGTGGTGCAGGAGCTGTTGCACGTGCTCTTCGCGTAAGTTTTAATAAATGAATGCCTTATAAATATTTTATAAAATAACTATAATTTATATATAACAACAGGCCCTCCACATCCCTGAATGCAGCTGCTCCCGAGGCATATGACTTCACTTTGGCCGAGAAGGCAAGCACAAAGTCGAACAGTTGTGAGATCTATGATTGTAATCTGAAGCTACTTGATTGGTTTTCTCAAGTAATGCACATAATTTGAAACACTTTAAATCTTGAATAAATTAAATATGTATTTTTATAAAGAAATTAAAAAATTATTATAAATAAATATATCTTTTATTCATAAATATGACAGCGAAAATTCTTATATTATTACATTACAATATTGGAAATATTGTGGAGCTTTCAATGAGAAGAGATTTTTTGGTGTAAAATTCAAATCTTCCTACCCAAAGTCTGTAACAAAATTATTTGTTTATTACATCTTCTGAGTGCGCCTAATATCTGTGCCATCAGTGTAATCAAACTCTTTTCACTATCAAACACACAATTATAGCTAAGCAAAGCCCAACCAAAACTGAAAATAAAAAAAAAAATAAATAAAAACAAAGGAAGCATGAAAACTCAAAGAACTTACTTGGTCTTTTCAGATTATCATAGATGCAATCGCCGCATTTCTTGAACTTTCTGACAATGCACTCGGCCATCACTGCATATTCCTCAATTGCAATACGAAATTACGTTTTAAGATCGGAGAAAACGATCCAATTTTAGAATTTTTATTCCGATTTCTGACATATATTTATCAGAGCTGGTGAGAACTAAGAGACTAGAAAATCAAATAAAAAGAAACTACAGTTTCTAGAGTTATAGATTTAGAAATTCATTTTGTTCTCAGCTTGTAGCCTATAAAATTTTGGAATCAGAATTTATAGAACCCTTTCGAACAGATTAGTACAAATTTCCCATTAATTGTTAATTTCCGGTTAAAGTAAATATATAAATATATACATATAGTGTATAAGAATTCAGTAAGTAGATATTTTCTTGAGAGCAATGCGTAGATCAGTTAAATACTTGAATGGAGTACCCCGATCACTGCGTCGAGCTCTGCATGAGACGGCTGTGGCCAGAAATTTGTCCTTTCTAGTTGAGGATGTTGTGCGGGGATACTGTGCCGAGGCTGCATCCCATAGAGAAAGTCCCCAAGTTGTCGCTGAGCGTGACTATAAGTACAAGGAGGGCCAGTTCTATCATGGATTCCAGTGTGAGCGAGTCGAGTATATCCCAGACTTCGAGCTGACGTCCTACACGCTGCGGCACAAGGAGTCGGGCCTGGAGCTGTGGTACATCGATCGCAACGATACAAATAATGTATTCTCGATCAATTTTCGGACTCCACCCGAGGACTCGACGGGCGCAGCGCATGTCCTGGAGCACCTGGCCTTGAATGGCTCCGCAAAGTATTCAGTTCGCGATCCATTCTTCAAAATGCTGAATCGATCTGTCGCCACCAATATGAATGCGCTGACTGCGCCAGACCAAACCGTGTACATCTTCTCCTCCAGAAATGAGACGGACTTCAGAAACATTCAGCGTATTTATTTGGACTCTGTGTTCAGGTGAGTCCTATGCAACTTTGTTGATATAACGAGTCCATTAAGCTTCTCTCTCCTCTCCCTCCAGGCCAAATCTGCTTTACTTGGACTTCCTCCAGGAGGGCTGGCGACTCGAGCACAGTCATGTGCATGATCGACAATCGGAGATTATTATCAAAGGCATCGTCTACAATGAAATGATTGGCATATTTTCAGAGAATAGCCGATTGTTCAGAAAAGGTCTCATGAGCAACTTGTTGCCAGAGCTCGCCTACAAGTACACGGCCGGCGGAGATCCACTGGAAATACCCAATTTAACGCACTCCAAATTGGTTCAATACCATCAGAAATATTATCATCCGAGCAATGGGCGTATTTTTTGTTACGGCTCCTTCGACCTATTGGAAACTCTGGAGGTTCTCAATGAGGAATATCTATGCGACTATGATCCCATCGACACGTCCTATAGTTATATACCGCTCCATCCGCGTTGGTCCTTCCCCCGTAACGTCCACTTGCCATGTCGTCTGGTTAACATGGGCGTTTCCAGGGAGAAGCAAAATCAAATAGGCTGCGCGCTGTTGATGTGCGATAGAACCGCCGTGCAGGAGGTCTTCGAGCTGAATGTGCTGACGGAGCTACTGATTCGTGGCCCAAACTCAGCCTTCTACAAGGGCCTGGTTGATCCGAACTTCTCTAGTGGCTTCAATAGGCATACGGGCTACTACTTCACCAGCCGAGATACGTACTTTGCTGTGGGCCTGCAGGATATACGCATTGCAGACTTTGACAGATTCCACGAGCTGTTCCAGCAGACCATCCATAAAACAATTATCGAAGGATTCGATTCCAAGCATGTGGAGAGTGTTCTGCATAATTTAGAATTAAATGTCAGGCATCGGAGGGCAGACGACGGTAATAATATCCTATTCAACTCGATGGCATTGTGGAATCATGGCGGTGATGTGTTTGCCAATCTGAGAATATCGGAAATGATGGGCCGACTGCGTGCCAGACTAAGGGATAACAAAAACTATTTACAGCAAAAAGTTGAACAATATTTCCTCGCCAATTCGCACAAGCTCACGTTGACCATGTCGCCGGATGAATCATATAGTGAGAACTTCCGGAAAGCCGAAAAGAAGTTGATACAACAAAAAATCAATGAACTCAGCCCAGAGAAATTGAGCAAAATATATCAGAATGGCCTTGAATTGGAAGCGGCTCAAAAGGCTAAGGAAAATACGAACGTATTGCCCTGCCTTTCGCTGGACGACGTTGAGGAACCAATGGGACATCCCCAGCTGACGGAGCAACTCATTGAGAGCGTGCCCACCCAATTGTGCAAGGTGCCCACCAATGATATCACCTACCTGAACTGCCTTTTCAATATTACGGCCCTGAGTCACGACGATGCCATGCTCGTGCCGCTCTTCTGCAGTGTGTTCAAGAATATGGGCACCAGGAAGCACGACTTTCGGGAATTCGACAAAATGATTCTATCGAAAACGGCTAACTTTGACTTCAAGCTGAAAGTTGTGGAAGATGTTAAGGATGGCAAGTCCTATAAAATTGGTTTGCTGATGACGACCTACGCCCTGGACAAGAATGTGAAGGACATGTTTGCTCTATGCGAGGAGCTGCTTCTTGACTTTGAGCTAGACGATACGGATCGCCTGAAGATGCTCATTGAAAACTACATATCCAAGCTATCCATAGGCATTGCAGTTTCTGGGCACACATATGCCATGCTGTGCTCCGCTGCACTGGTCAGTGATGCGGGCAAGCTGAAGTCCCATTTACTGGGCATTGATCACATCGACTTTATGAAGAGGTATACTCAACAGAATAGTACGGAGGAGATCTGTGAGAGATTAAAGGCCATTGGAGCAAAAGTGTTCAGCAAGAGCAATATGCGTGTGGCCCTCAATACCTCGGAGGCTTTTCAACCAACCGCTCTGGAGCATTATCGAACTTTTCTGAAAAAACTGCCAAAGCTCAAGAATATGAATAAGAGGAGTCAACTGAAATTGTTCAAGCCGAGCTTTCACCATTATGCTATGAATTTTCCTGTTAACTATTGCGCCAAATCATTCTTCGCAGTGCCATACTTGCATGAAGATCATCCGGTGCTGCGTGTGCTGGCCAAACTCATCTCGGCAAAGTATCTGCTGCCTGTGGTGCGGGAGCAGAATGGAGCTTATGGTACGGGCGCGAGAATTGGCTATGATGGACTCTTCCACTTCTACAGCTATCGTGATCCGCACTCTACGAGGACTTTGGATGTATTTGACAAAACGTATGAGTGGCTGGCAGCCATGAGCGATAAGCTGGATCACCAGATGTTATTCGAGGCCAAGCTGGGAGTGCTGCAGTTGCTCGATTGGTCAACAGCGCCTGGTGAAGTTGGTATGGATTACTTTATTTTAAGAGTCTCGCATGAGGAGTATTGCAAGTATCGTTCTCGCGTTCTAAGTGTAACTGCAGATGAGGTGCGCTCGGTAGTTGATAAGTACTTTAAAAAAGAGCCGCGTCATGTTGGTAAATGTATTTTAGGCCCAAAAAGCGAAAGATTAGCTTTGAAATTGCAGAACGCATGAAGTAAGCATTGTGTAATCCTGAACATGTGTATTTAATGTAGATGTAAATAAAGTATTCTTTGGTTAACCGTTAAATGCAATTTACCCTAAATTTAAATAGTTCAAAATTCGATAGTTTACTCTAATAATCGTTTAAATGAACTTTTTTAGTATTTTAGTCTCAATTAAAATACCTGAAAATACTAAGATCAATTTGCCTTTTGCAAATATATCGATAGACCTCAAGAATATTGACTGCTGAAATCTCATATGTAGTGTGCAGATGACTGAAGTTTAAAAGATTGTATTTCCTAAAATTGGTAAGTTGCATTATCTTTCTGAGTGCAAGCTGAAAGTATAAAATATAAAATAGAATTAGTGTTTGGAATTTTAATCAGATTGTAAGTCAAAATAAGTAAATTTATCGTATGCAGAAAGGCACACAATATAAATTAAGCGAATACAGCCACACACATACATATATACAGGCACACATATTTATATGCATACACGCAAAACGCAATGAATGCCGGCTGATGTAACTGAAACTCGTGTCGTGTTTTATGTTGGTTTTTATTTAACTAATGTCGCTTGTGTTGTGTTGATCTGGATAACATCTGCAACTTGTATTGTGTACTTATCATTTATAGACTCGCACAAACGAACGAACAAACAAACGAAATAAAATATGCTCACACGTCTGCAATGGTTGAAGGCGTTGCCGCGCCCACTCCGAGTGCTGCCTGGGCAAACGGTTCGACGATGCTTCAAGTCAACTCAAGTCACACTCAACGAGGGCAAGAGAGGCCCCAGTGCGGAATCAAAACTGGCGCTTGACGGCGATCTGCCCCATATTATGGGGGATCGCAAATACAAATATAGCGAAGGCCAGGTGTACCATGGCTTCCAGTGCGAACGCATCGAATATATACCCGACTTTGAGCTGGTATCGTGTACGCTGCGGCATTTGGGCACGGGGACGGAGCTTTGGTATATCGATCGGAATGATACGAATAACGTATTTTCCATTAATTTCCGTACCACTCCATTCGATTCGACGGGGCTGCCGCATATATTGGAGCATCTCGCGCTATGTGGATCCAAGAATTTTCCAGTTCGTGATCCATTCTTCAAAATGTTAAATCGTTCGGTTGCCACGTTCATGAATGCCATGACTGGACCGGACTATACGTTATATCCATTCTCAACCATGAACGAGGTGGACTTTAGGAATCTACAAAAGATTTACTTGGATGCGGTATTTAGGTGAGTTGTACCTAAAATAAATTTGCTAATTTTAATTAACCATTTTTTACGATATTATAGGCCAAATTTAGCTTACTTGGACTTTTTGCAAGAAGGCTGGCGTCTGGAGCACAAGGAATTGAACAATCGCGACTCTGAACTGGTTATCAAAGGCGTTGTCTATAATGAAATGAAGGGAGCCTTTTCGGAGAATTCGCAGGTGTTCATACAAAATCTGCTTAACAATATGCTGCCAGATCACACGTATGGCTATGTGTCTGGCGGCAATCCACTGGAGATTCCCAAA